TATATATATATATATATATATATCTGAACCCCCACGAAGTTTCTAGCCGAGAAAGAAACCGAAAGTCGACATAGGCATCCTGATTAGCCTTGCATGAAAAGCCGCGATTGCCGAAGAGGAGAAAGAAGGCCACCCGTTCCCAACCAGCCCATGGTCGGAGAAGTGGTGCAAGTCGTGGGCGGTAGGGAGAGAAGAGGGTGCCAAAGGTTTAAGCATTGTTGTAAAAAACGACTTAATTGGCGGGTCCTTCAGTTCGCTGGAATGAATCAGTTGTCAGTGAACTAGTTTTCGCTGGAATGAATCGGTTGTCAGTGAACCAGTAAAAAACCCGTCAGAATCGGCCAAAGATTTATTGTTCTTGACATAAAACCACCTTATGTCTCAAAGAAAATCAGATCAGTGAACAATTGAACTAGTAACTTGACTAATTCGATGGTCGGTCTAGTTTTGAGAACTTGGGTTTAAGAGAAAAGTATTACGTAACCTTCTCAACCGAGGTGACTCAACACATTTTCCTGTCGAACAATTTATTAAGTTACACATTATGAAAACTATGCCTTTTAGATTTATGTATACAAAAATAGAGAGCTTGATTCCCCCTTTCCCCCACTCCTTTTTTTCTCCGGTGTGTCGCCTGCCTCCAGTGATCGATCGAGATCAACGTCCTATGTGATGCGACTCGTCGTCTGTCCTTTAATGTCATCTTTATGGCCAGATTTGGACTTTTTCTTCAGATTTAACTAGCCGTTCGTGTGAGCTGGAGTTCTCAAGTTTGTTGACTTCAGATCTGTTATTCTTTCTTCTTCTTTAAGATTAATGGACTCAAAGAATGTTGGCGGTTGCTATTGAGTTTGTGACGGTAGTCTATTTGAAGGCATTTGTTGGCTGCTTTTGGCTTGGCCTTGGTGGTGATTACACTAGCTAGAGAGGTTTTATTCTATGTTAATTATTATTACGTATTTTGTATATGTTTGTGTTTGTTTTTGTGGTTTTCTATTCTCCATTGTTGCGGTTGCAATCTTACGACTGTGGGAGTAGTGTAATTTTTTATTTCAATATGTGTTTTGCTAGTATTTTTTAATTTTGGAGTTATTTTTGAGTAGATCTCTCTCTAAATTCAGCTAATAGATGATTGATTCAATGGTCATTTTATAACGTTTTAAATGCTTGTGTTTATTAATATATAAATCTATATATATATAATAAGAATTACCATTTAACAAAAATAGTAGCAAAAAAATAGGAAAGAATTTAATGCAACCTATAAATAGTAAGTTTTATTATTTTTTATTTTAAAAAAATCATACAACATTAAATGTTACATTAAATTTTAGGCTTTAATTTGTTTATTATTTAAAAATTTAAGCTAAGATCTATCAAGTGTGCATTTTTCATTTTTATTATTTTTTTTAAGAAACAACGAAGAATATTAAAATCTCAGTTTGTATATTTATAAAATCTCAATTCAAAAGATAATAAAATTTTTAGAATATCGGCCTTTATATTTATTCCTTTCAAAAAAAATATTGAATGCTATTCTTTAAATATCATTTTCCACTAATCATCAAATTTTTTTCATTTGGAACGTGTGATAATATATTGTTTTTTCTGAATACTTTGTAGTGTTTAAAATATCACTTTGTAATGTTTATCAATACTTTGTTTATCAATCTATTGTTTTTTCTATACTCGGTTTCAAAAGGTAAAATAATTTTCAAATTCTCAGTCTCAATAATTGTGCATTGAAAATAAAAAAATTAATGATAATATATTATTTGTTAATAGTACACAATTTTGAAAACCCCATTATAAATTGTATGTTGATCTCCAAAATCATTTTATAAATACAATCGACTTTGTTAAATCTCCACAAAAATATGGTAAAACAAAATGAGACGATCAGCTTTGTATGTAAATAAAATAAAATCAATAAATCAATATGAAGTTCACAGAAAATTAACATAATGAATAATTTGTATAGTACACGAATCTAAAAAATAATACTCATGTGGATTCTAAAATTCAAACTTATAGTTATCATCATCTTCTGGAAATTGAATAATATATTGTAGACAAGATTTTTTTAAATAATTTTAGACATGTTTTATTTATAAAATAGTTTAAAAAATTTTTAGGTGAATCACATCTTTCAATAATAATATATAAAATTTTAGATACTTTACATACGTTATATTATATAATATTTTAGGTGTTTTTAATATTTTAAACATATAATTTTTGTGTTATTTTATACAAGATAATTAAATATTGTTTACAACTGATATACGATAAATTATATGTCACATATTAACTCTACATCTTAATTATAATTATAATTATGAGTTAATATTGTTTACTCTCATATTGTTTACCCGTGCATCGCACGGGCTACACGCTAGTTACAATGTAACTTGAGATTTATTTTTTTATAAAGCCTCAAATAAACCTTAGCTAATAGCTCTACTTTGGAAGTATACTAATTAATGCACCACCTAAAGATATAATTAAAAAGATGGATGAATTTTACGGACGTGTTAGAGTGTGTGTTCGAAATTTATGAGTTGAAATTTTGTTCTCAAATCTCATGTTTAAGTACTTAGTATTTAACCAGCGCACACATAAATCGAATCATGATACCATGTAGTAAATTAATCAATGCCTGCTTAAATGTCAAATGAAACATTACATTTACATAGCGATTGGAATAATATTTTATTTTTCCTAGTCAATTTTCTAAAGAAAACCAATCGGAAAGGAAGAAAATAATTATTCTGTTGTTAATTATATAATATTGTAATACTTTACAGCTACTGCTGCTCTACCACACAAAGTTGGAAAATAATGCAGTGCTTTTGACTAAAAATTGTAGATACCACTCGTTGTTTGAATAAGCTACTTATTAGCAATTTTTTCTTATCTTATGAAAAGTAGAGAGGTTTAAAATAATATTTATTCCTTACTAATGGCTCCTTTTACTTTATCTTGCTTAATAAGAACTTTGAAGGTATGAAAACAAAAACATAATCAATTACACAAATTCAGGTTGACAACTGTTAGCATGTCGATTTGTTATACTTTTTGAATAAAAAGTATATATTTATACGAAGCATCACACACTTTAAGCAAAAAATACATATTTCTTGTTTAAATTGTTTTTAAAAATATAAGTAAAGATTATAACGATTATAAAAATACAATATTGCTAACCTTCAATGAAAAATCACAATATATAGAATATTTAAATACTTGGGAAAATCCTTGTAATAAATCTTAAATGATATAAGGGTAAAATACCTGTGAACATACACTTTCTCAAGCGTGCTTAAATTGAACTATCATACGATTAGTGACCTTTGGAAAATAGCCAATACAATATTTTGGTAAAGATGGTTTCACATATACCATTGCAATAATTACCATTTGACTGTATTTCACCGCGTTCTGTAACCATATATACAGTCGTTTGGACAGCCAAATTATTAGATAGGTCGATTAGTCATATTTATTTAAAATAATAATATATATTTGCATTATAACATATTAAAACTTTGAACTTTTACATAAAAAGTATGATTGCCTACATAACAACACAATTATTATTTTCCAACTTTCCTGCCTGATCCAATTGCAAAATCACCGTCGAAATTGAATTCTTTGATTTTTGATTTTTCCTTTCGCAATTTTGTTAAAATATACCATCGATCCCAGCCATAAATCTCTCCATCAAATGAGGTAGGAAATAATTTGTTTATAAAACAGTTTCATGATGTATTTCATATTATCGTTTGATAATTAAGTTCTGTTTTGTTTATTAATTTATGATATTCCAATTAATTAGTTATACCTACTCTATACCATTAATATTAATAAGAAACTCAATAATAAACGTAGTTATAGCAATTAGAGAATTGGATATGAACTAATGATTTGGGCCCCATTTAGTTGATTTACATCATGAATATATGCAAATAGTTTTTGTTGGGCCCAGATGCGCAAATGCGGAAGGTGTAAATTAAAACACCAACGTGAAATAGTGAAAAAAAAAATCTCTTGCAATCAAGTAGGAATAATTCTTTTCTGATGTGGAAGATCAGATTAAACTGCAACCACAGAGCATACTAAGAATATCCCAAATAAATAAAATATGCAAGAAATAATATACCAAGATTTAACGTGGAAAAACCTCCAAAGTAGAGGAAAAAACCACGGGACAACCTCCGAATAATTCCACTATATTATCAAGATAATTACAATATCTTTTCACACTCCCTTCACTAGAAATGTAAAATATAGTGACCCAGTGAGACCCCACTCCTAAACAAATATTACAAACAAGGAGTAATAGAGATGATACCCGACTCGGTGTATTTTTCCCACACTCACAGGATTTACTCAAACACTCTATTTTTCTCTCACTGAAAAATACAAACAAGAATACTAATCTTTCTTCTTGCTTTTTTTCTTTCTCTCGTTGGTGCATTTTTCAGCATTGCAAATGTTGCTATTTATAGCAGAAAGATTGTACAATCTGACAAAAATTGCAGCTCACAATTATCAGCAATGACAAACTCATTTCATTAAAAAATTCCTAATCCATTTAGTAGTTGTAAGATTCTTTCTTTCACATGGCTGGACCTACAATTCTCCCCCTCCAGCCAAAGAGAAATATTCTGCATATCTTCACATGCATTCCATGCCGATCAACTCGGCACTAAGCTGAAGCTTTCCTCCTGTTACAACTTTCGTCATCATGTCAGCAAGGTTTTCATCAGTGTGAATCTTTTCCAACTTGAACTGTTGTTCTTCCACTGCTTGACGTAGCCAATGATATCTGACATCAATGTGCTTCGTGCGAGAGTGATACATCGCATTCTTACTTAAATCCAATGCGCTCTGACTATCGCAATGAATATCATACCTCTCCTGCTTCATTCCCAATTGTTGAAGAAATCTCTTCAACCAAAGCATTTCTTTTCCCGCTTCTGTTAGTGCAATATACTCGGCTTCAGTAGTCGATAAGGCAACAGATTTCTGCAATTTAGATTGCCAAGATACAGCTCCTCCTGCAAATGTAAACACAAGCCCTGAAGTAGATTTTCTACTATCCAGGTCACCTGCCATATCTGCATCTGTATAACCCTCAAGAACTGGGTTTCCTTTACCGAAGCTCAAACATTTATTTGCACTACCTTTTAGGTACCTCAAAATCCACTTCACAGCTTCCCAATGATCTTTCCCAGGATTGAAAGATACCTGCTAACAACT